TCAGAACTCTATTGTTGTTGTTGTTAAGTACCACTGAGTTGGTTCCTACCCATAACAACCATGTATAGGGTTTCCAAGAAGCGGCTGGTAAGTTTGAACTGCTGACTTTGCAGTTCAAACCAACTTTGACGTTGAGTGCTTATCCTACAGTGCCACACCAGGACAGACATTACTATTTTTTAAATGAAAGATTAAAGAATTAAATTTAATTAATAAATTAACACCAAAGATTTAAAAGATTTAGAGCCTGGTTCTTTATTAAATTTATTATCTTGGTTATGTCTTCTTGCTAATGGTGTGGCTAATTCTTCAGCCCCTGCTATAAGGAGGCACTGGAGGGCAAGTCATCTCCAGTCCCTCAACTTGATTGTCCTCTGATTGATTAAGAAACCATTGACTTTCTCTCCCTTTGTGCACAGGCCATTGCTGTGGTAGCTGAAAGCCTTCTGATTTCTGGAGAGCAAGCATGATTTCATTTTGTACACACTTGGGCCCCTTAGGGAGGAGAACAAATCATAGGAATGTGATTTTTAGGGTCCACATCACTGCCCATCATTTCTGGTGACAGCTGAATGCTCAGACATCTTCAGGAATTACATATGAAATTCCTTGTTCCTGTTCTTTGTCATTCCCCAATCCTATGCCTCAGTCCTTCTTGTACATTGCCCTTAGCTCAACTCTCACTAAGGGGACTCTCTATTTCAGTTTGCCTAAAACAGTTTCAGTGTATGCCCGCTGTCCAGATACAGGTAGTACTTGTGTCCCTTTCACATCTCACCCAGCTTGGATGACAAATTATACTGACGCTCTTACTATAGTTCACATATTAAGCATAACCTTCAGGGCATATTCTCTCCAATCACTATCTACCTATCAGTTTAAGCTGCAATATCATTCCTTACATAATTTCTCCTCTTTCTCCATTTTCTCCTCCTTCTGCTACAAATGCCCTCAGGCTGTTAGAGTTTACCTTACATTTTATCTACAGTATTCAATTTTGCTATCAGACCTGAGAGTACCCATTCCTAACAACAGGACTTGATGAAACTATTAGGGGCTGTACACCTCTAACAATTATATTCTTATTAGGTATTTAAAAATTCAGGACTGACATTTAAAATAAAATGTCATCCCACACAGGCTGGATTCTGAACAGTGGTGAAAAATGTACTAGCCTCATTATTTTAGGTAGATTGATAGGTGAGACAATGATTGTTTTAAATATTCTTCAACCACAAGGTATAGTGTCCAAGCTCTGTTTTGTACTATGTCTATTTATTTATGATTTATCATCTCTCAATCCAATTTTGACAAGTCCAGCCCTCTGCAAAAATAAAAATTCAGCAAAACTGCTTTTCAACATTTGTGTGGGCCAAAATAGGTTCTAATCATTATAATATACCCCTAGTGATAATAATCCAATGATTACAATATATCCCAATTTTACTCATGGTGACCTCATTTGTGTCTGAGTAGACCCTGCACCATAAGACTTTCATTATTTTTTTGAGCAGATAACCAGGCTTTTCCTCTAAGGTTCTTCTGCTGCTCTGACTCATAGCGACCCTGTATAGGGTTTCCGAGGCTGTAAATCTTTATGGAAATAGAAAGCCTCATCTTCCTCCCTTGGAGCGGCTGGTGGATTTGAACTGCTGACCTTTCACTTAGCAGTCCAATGCCAATTCCACCACACTATTAGGGCTCCTTCCAAGGTCCCTCTAGGTGAACCGGAACTACCAATCTTTTGGCTAAAAGCCAAGAATGCTTGTCATTTGCACCGTGCAGGAACTTCATCTCTCTTCTAGGTCATATAAATTTCAACAAAGACTTTTTGAGAGAATTCATTAATCTAAATGGAATGATTTCATTAGGGGAATCTAAGGACTGAGGAAGTCAGATTGACAGAAGATAGAGATTTCAGTGCTCTTCCAATCACATCATAGGCAAACAGCTTCTTGCCTCACCAGTTCATCAGACTGATCTGAACCTATAATATTACACAGCTGCGAAATTACACTTCATTTGATGCTTTTATTGAGTGAATTTATGCTGAATTTTTTTTAAATAGCTGGCCTTGGGCCGTATCTTCTTCAAGTACCGGTTTCCTATTAATGAACAAGTTACTACTGACGTAGACACTTTCTTCACACCTTTTCGTAGACTCTAGTGCTGACAATATTATTCATGATACATTCCTAAAAGCAAAGAGGGGCCTATTAGCATTGGTTAAAGATGACAAGTTAAACTTACCCTTCTTCTCCCTCCCCAGAACATATCCTCAATTCAGGTGCAGAAATAATTAAGGCATACAAGGAATGTACCAAAAAGAAGCATTAAAAATTTCCATTTAGATAAAACTCACCACCACCATTTTCCCATCTACAATTTGTCTTTTAATTGTTGTCTCTTTGCCGAGCCACTTTTGGACCTGAATCAATGAGTCACCATCTAATGTTATGATACTCTATAAAAGTATAAAAGAATCAGTTAGAAACAGTAATTCATTCAATCCTAAACTACACAAGACTAGACACCTATTCTGTATTTCCATTTTGAAATTATTTTCTTCAAAACCTTCAATTTGGTTCCAGTCCTAATTTAATGTTCTCAAATTACAAGAAGTCTTAAGAGATTATCCAATGAATGTTCCCCCTCTCTAGGCAAACAAGAATAAATACCTAAGCATTTATTCTTGGCTGTCCTTTTCTATAAGAAGCTCTGATGCAGTAGGTTAAGCACTTGGCTTCTAATCAAAAGGTTGATATTCAAACCCACCAGCTGCTCTATAGGACAAAGATATGGCCATGTGCTTCCATAAAAATTTAAAGCCTTGGAAACCCTATGGACAAGTTCTACTCTGTCCTTGGTATTACTGTTGTTGTTTAAAATACCATCAAGTAATTTCTGACTCATAGGGTTTCTGAAGAGTGGCTGGTGAACTTGAACCACCTGCTGACCTTGTAGTTCATTGGTTCAAGTTGATTTTGCAGTCCAGCATATTAATCTCCAGCACCACACTAGGACTCCGAATTGGAATTGACTCAACAGGAAGGGATTGGATTTGGTTCTCTTCTGTATATGCATTTTCATATAATGGCAGAAAGATCAGGAAAACTTTTTGAATGTTTTGTCCTGTTAGCTATCAGAATAATCAGCAAAAATGCATTGATTTTAGAGATATGCAGGCATGAATCAACAAAACAACCCCAAACTAACTTGATGCCAAATCAAACACAAATTATCACTCTATGAATAAACTATATATAACTCCTTCTAGTGTTTTCTTGAGTGTTGAACATCAAGAAGCTTTTGTTCTCACCTTCACTTTGCGGTTGTCTGCTGTGGTTTCTTCAAACTCTTCCCCCAGCTTGAAGGAGATCATAGTGTTCTTGAAAGAACTTTCTGTTTTGATGCTTACCACATCCCCATCAACACTGATACTGACACTCGGCTTCGCTAACCCGGCCACGTTCCGGGTTGCGAGACTCACTCCTATAAGGTAGAGGAGGTGACACACCTTAAGACATTGAGCAAAAAGTGTTATCAGTCTGGAAAGCAATTTTTAAAGAATGTGTATAGCACTCATTGGGGTTTTAGATAATCTACTATAACTTCTTGTATACTTTCTATGGCTTTGGATTGATTCAGATAATTCCAGACATATGGCTCTTGATTTATAGATGCCATGGAGTTAGTTCTGACTCATAGTGACCCTATGTACAACAGAAATACTGCCTGGTCCTACACTGTTCTCATAATTGTTGCTATGCTTGAACCCATTGTTGCAGCAACTATGTCAATCCATCTTAACCAAAGAATCATCCACATTTTTGATGCTTTTTATTTTACCAAGGATTTTGTCCCTCTCTAGGGACTGGTCCCTCCTGATAACATCTCTAAAATATGCCAGACTTCTTGCCATCCTTGCTTTTAAGGAGTATTCTAGCTAAAATTCTTCCAACACAGATCTGTTCTTCTGACAGACAATGATATAGCCAATATTCTTCACCAATGTCACAATTCAAATTCATCAATCCTTCTTCTGTCTTCTTTATTCACTGTCCAGCTTTTGCATGCACATGAGGCAATTGAAAATGCTTTTGCTTGGGTCAAGTGTACTTTAGTCCTCAAAGTGGCATCTTTGCTTCTTAGCACTTTAAATAGGTCTTTTGCAGCAGACTTGTCCAATACAGTATGCCAATTTATGGGTGTTGGTTGTGAAAACAAGTAAATGAAATCCTGGACAACTTCAATCTTTTATCCATTTATCATGATGCTGTGTATTGTTCCAGTTATGAGGAATTTTGTTTTCTTTACACTGAGGTGTCATCTATACAGAAGGATGTATTTTTTGATCTTCATCAAAGTTGGTACTTCAAGTCCTCTTGACTTTCAATAAGCAAGGTTGTGTCATATCCATAGTCTTTCTGCTGTGCATAAGGTCACTATGGGTCAGTACCAACTCGATGGCACCTAACAACAACAACAACAATGTCTCTTCCTCCAATCCTGATGTCCCATTAGTCTTCATATAGACCAGCTTCTCAGACTGTTTAACATAACAATTGACTAATATGGTGAAATTATACAACCCCAACACACACCTTTCCTAATTTTAAACCTCCCAATCATAAGGTAAAGTCTTGGTATGGTGCTGTAGAATAAGATCTCAACCACAAGGTTAGTTTGAACCTTGTCGGCAGTTCAAACTCACCAGCCGCTCCTTGGAAACTTCATGCAGGGTCATTATGAGTTTGAAGCAACTAGACAACACTTAACAATAACAATCATAAGATAGGTGTCCTAGTGTGGTGCTGTAGGATAAGCACTGGACTACTAATCATGAGGTTGATGGTTCAAACCCACCTTCCACTCCTTGGAACTGTATACAGGGTTGCTATGAGTTGGGACTGAGCGGATGGCACTTAACAACAGCAACAACAATCATAAGGTATTGGACTGTGAACCGCAAGGTCAGCAGTTCGAAACTACCAGCTGTTCCATGGGAGAAAAATGAGGCTTTCTGTTCCCGTAAAGATTTATAGCCTCAGAAACCCTGTACAGGGTCGCTATGAGTCGGAACCGACTCTATGGCACATAACAACAACAACAATGAGTATATGTTGGAGTTCTGGTGTGACGCTGCAAGTTAATGCACTAGATTGCAAAGTCACTTTGAACCATAAGATCAGTGGTTCAAGCTCACCAGCTGCTCTCTGGGAACTCTATACAGGGTTGCTAAGGGTTGGAAACGACTCATCAGCACTCAACAACAACACAACAATGAGTATATTTTACATTTTAAAAATGTAAATTCAAGTTTTGAGATTTTTGTGCTTCATCTAACATTTAATGTCTTCCTAGAAACTCCATAAAAAAGACCTTGAGCCCTGACAAAATATATTTGTATGGTACCTTTCAGATTATGAAGTGAAGTATTATAACAACAGTACAAGGATATTATCATTCTAAACTTAGAGATGAATGCACAATGTCTCAAAGAAGTGGTGGTGGTGGTGATTATGTGCCGTGGAGTCAGTTCCAACTCAAAGCGACCCTGTATAGGGTTTCCGAGGGTCTTAATCATTACAGGAGCAGAGAGTCTCATCTTTTCTCCCACGGAACAGGTGGTAGTTTCGAACTGCTGACCCTGAGGTTAGCAGCACAATTCGTGACCACTACGCTACCAGAAGTCCTTGTCTCAAGGAAGTAGAAGGTCTTACTCTGAGTTATGTGTCTGATAAATAGCAGTTGTTGTTGGTAAGTGCCATTGAGTCCATTCCAACTCATAATGACTTAAATAGGGTTTCTAAGGAGCAACGTGTGGGTTTGAACCACCAAACTTGTGGATAGTAGTCCAATGCTTACCCTACAGAGACACACCAGGGCTTCTGATAAATAGCAGAGCTGAGATTAAAACAAAAGTTTTCGAAATCTCCATCCCAGGGCATTTCTATCTTACCTCAAATTTTTTTCTTAAAAAAGTGAAAAAACACAGCTTTTTAACTACCTAAACTACTCTGGAGTCCTGGTGTGGTGCTGTGGGTTAATGCACCAGACTTGCAAAGCAATTTTAACTGCAAGGTCGGTGGTTCAAGCTCACCAGCTGCTCCTTGGAAACCATATACAGGGTCGCTATGGGTCAGAATTGACTCGATGGCACTTAACAACAACAACAAACTACTCTGAAAGAATATGATTTGTAGTGAGCTTCTCTGACATTTGAAGATTAAATGTATATCTGGCAGAGTGAAGAGGAGGCAGGCAAATTGGATAGTTTGGCTTTGCAGTTGGCACTGTTCTTTAGGCTGGGAATTTTCCATTGTCAAACATGACTCTGACCATAGCTGAGCAGAAGTGACCCGTCTCTTCCCCCTGATTTCCAATTCTATTTCACCTTTGGTTGTGGGACTGCCATGAAGCATCTGACTGCAGAGAAGCAGTGTTCGAAGCATAGAACACTCAGAAGAGTAAGGTGGTTAAAACACAGGGCTCCAATTTTGTGACTTGCTAGTAGGGACACGTCACCTACCTTCTCCAGCTTTCAGCTTTTTCCTAGTTAAATGTGGACAATTATTAGTACTCAGTAGAGGCAAGCTGTCAGTCCTCTTTGCACTATGCCTAATCCTAGCTCCCAATCAAAGCAAGTGCTACTCTTATCATAAGCCTCAACATTATGTGCCCCCAAATTTAAAAAGTAAGTGAGCATAACAATTCATGAACAGTAAGTTTCATAGTATTCACTGAAAAAAGTTAACCTATAGAAGAACAAATATCATATTTATAAGTATATTAACTTGCTCTGATGGGGATGAGGTATTGTACTTTTGTTGAAGCGCTGTTGAGTCAATTCCAACTCATATCAACCCTGTATAGGATTTCCAAGGAGTAGCTGGTAAGTTTGAACCGTCAACCTTATGATTCAAAACAACCTTGCAGTCCAGTGCTTATCCTACAGAACCATACAGGATAGTTGTCTAGAATCACTAACATGTTAACAATAGTTGTAAGCATCTATTTATGAATTCAGCCAACTTATAAAAAAAAATGATTGTATATACAGTTTATTATTGTAAGTTCTCCAATAATTAAGTATGGAAATGTTAAATAATCACTGTTGGGTTACTACTTAGTTAAAAAAAAAAAAAAGCTGATATAGACCTAAGTAATTATAATTGATTGTTAGTTAAATGTTCAAGTTGGACAAGAAAAAAAAGGATAAGTAGAGGTTATAGTTCTGAAATATAGCCAGTGCTAAAATATTCAACAAATGGCCTATATCATCCATTAAAATTACATTATTTAATATCTCCTAAATATTATCAAGGAGCTCTGGTAGTGTAGTGGTTACAAATTAGGCTGCAAACCGAACCATAAGGTCAGAAGTTGGAAACTACCAGCTCCTCTGCAGGAGAAAGATGAGGCTTTCTGCTCCTGTAAAGATTTACAGCCTTGGAAACCCTGTTCAGGGTCACTATGGGTCGGAACCAACTCGACGACACTTAACAACAACAACAACAAATATTATCAAAATTCTGAAATGAACCAACTAAAAATTTTATTTGCTGTTTTTATTCTCTGAAACATTCAACTTAATGCAAACTTTGAAATAAATTTAATGGGTAAATTTAATTATAGATAATGATGGTGATTTTTGGAACTTAGAAAAAAGTTACTTGAGGTAATGATAAAGCTAAAGAGAGACTCTACCAGGGCACTTAGATAAAACATTTTTATAAAATATAAACAGTTTTTAAAATATGGGTTATGACTGGATACAGCTATATACAGGCCCAGAAATTCCAAGGGGAAGGTGATAGCTCCATCTTATAAGCTAACCACAAGGTCAGCAGTTTGAGTCCACCAGGTACTCTGAAGGAGAAAGATTAGACTTTCTGCTCTTACAGAGATTTAAAACCTCTGAAATCCTACACAGGGTTGCTGGAACTGACTCGATAGCACTTAACAACGAGAGTTATTCTCCAAAGAGGAACTATTACTAGACAAACAACAACAACAATCTATGTTAGTCTCATGTGAATATATGATTATATTCCTTACAAAAGATTACAAAAGGAAGAAGTTTCTCAGGAAAATTCATTGTAAAGTACAAACCCAACCACATCACAAAATGTTCCACCAGTTTGCAAATGTTATAATGACATTTCTCACCCAGTTCTTTCATGTAATCCTCAAAATTTTCACTGGAGACCAGTTTCCAGGTTCCCAAAAAGGACTCAACCATCTTGTTGGAAAGAGGTAGTCACACGACTGAAAGCCAAAGAAAGGTAGGCATTGCAGTATTGCCAGTACCTTAATTTAAAGACCATCTTTATCATGTGATGCGACTGAACTAGCCAATGGGCAGTCGTAGCAAGACCAAAGATTCTAGGCACCAACATTTGACTCACTTTATTTGCCTCCAAATTAAGAAACAAAAATAAGCATGTAAAGTTGACTTTGGGTCAATAATTACAGCTTCTAGCAAAGAGATTTACACCAAGTATTAACCTGATAAATAGTGCTTGTGCAATGGAGACTGATTTTCAATAGAGATCAGCCTTTTCAAGTACAAACGCTGAGTCAATTCTGAAGGAAGATCCCAACGAATGTCTAATGAACACCTGACTGAAGTGTTTCCCCACCGATGACAAGCACATCCTTGCTTAATCCAGCTCAGCTGTTTTCTGTTTGACTAAGTCCCAGTGCTAGGGTATCCTCTTCATTAAAAAATAATATCTTCCCTTCCCTTCCTTGCAGGGTTGATGGCTTGATATTAGCTAATGTAACTGAAATACCTACATTCTTTGGAGTGAGGTATAGGGTATGATTAATACTATAATTATTGTTAATCAACAGTAATTAAGGACTGGGAAGAAAGGGGATGATTTTCAGTGAGTCGTGATATGGAGTTAATAATTCTACCTTACAAAGTAATTGGGAAATTCTGCCTTACAAAGTAATCCTGACATTAAAAGATACTACTGAAATTGTGAGGAAAATTTTTAGGGAGAAGTATGTGTTTTGAAATCTACATTCTAAAAGAAAAGAAGGCAACAAATATCTGTACAATTGTTTCTAAAATCATCCTCTGCAACCCAATAGTAGTGACCTTTGTAGGTATTGATTTTACTACGAAGGATTTGAATCAACTTTGAACTCAAAATAACTGGAAAAGTAGAATTCTACTGACAACTAGAAGCATATTCATATTATTACCTGCCTCATGTCAAATATTCTTTCAGTTCAAAGAAATATTTATTCCAGCTATCTCTTTGTGAATAAAACAAAAAAAGACACTGATGGTTTGACATGGCAAAAATTATAACTTCGATGGCACAAAGAAATCTTTGATGAGCCAGAAAGAAGAAATTTTGCTGATATCTATAGGTGGAGCTGAGTTACTAAAATATCTGGAGGGCAAAACAAAGTAAGCAAAAGCTCTAGAGGTTATTTCAGGAAACTGAGACTCAAGCTCAGAATAAGTACCTCAGCATTCGACAGTGTGCTTAGAGGTCATGTTCAAACTAGAGTTTGTTTTGCTAGGTCTAGATGTGTATGCACTCTGTGCTGGACAAACAGAAAATGTACTTGACCATGCATATTTGCCTATGGGTTAGTGTCACAAGGGTCTCCCATTACTATAACCATTCTTGCTGTTTCTAATCTTCTTCCAATGATCGAGTCAGAAGTTAATCCTGTGGCCTATTTTAAAACTTAATTGGGTCATGAGACAAAAGGAAAACTCGAGTTTCTGTCTTCCATATAATTTCCTCATAACTAGGGGTCTTGGTGTGACTCTGTAGAATAAACACTGGACTGCTAACCACAAGGTCAGTGGTTCAAACCTACCAGCCACTCTACCAAAACTCTAAACAGGGTTGCTATGAGTTGGAACCAACCCAACAGCACTTTACAACAAATTATGAGCAGAACCAACTGGACAACACTTAACAGTATGTCAGAGTAGAACTTCCCCGTAGGATCTCCAAAGCTGAAATGTTTACAGAAGCAAGCTGTCGTATCTTTCTTCCACACAGCCTGGTGATTTAGAACTGCTGACCTTTTGGTTAGCAGCCAACTGCTTAACTATTGTGCCACCAAAACTCCTTCTGTAAAGATTGTCATTGTTGTTGTTGCTAAATGCCATTGAATCAGTTCCAAGATTACAGCTTTGGAAACCCTGTGGGGCAATTCTATTCTGTTCTACAGGGTCAGTGTGAGTCGGAATTGACTCCAGGATGCACAACAACAATATACTAGAGAATTTACCTCACAGCACTGTAACCAGTTATACCCTGACCATCTCTTGAGCTATTCTCTGAGTAACATTTATTATTCATCTCCCTAAGATGTCATGCTTGATAAAGTAGACAGTACACAAAAAAGAGGAAGACACTCAACAAGATGAATTGACACAGTGGCTACAACACTGGGCTCAACGTAGGAACAGTTGTGACGATGGCACAAGACAGGCAGTGTTTCATTCTGTGGTACTTACTTCATTATTAGATGGAGGACATTCGATGACACCTAACAACAACAACAATTCTAAATCAGTTCTTAGCATCTTGCAGGTGCTCACTAAATGTTTTATGAATGACTGGTAAAAGAAATAAACAATATTTATTCCCTTTTAATTGACAGTTGTCCTCATTCGTGTTCTCTAGCAGTGACTAAAAGCAAGGTTTTAATACATTATCCTCTCCTGACTTGCTCCTACAATAAACCTTTCCTTTGGTCATTATCAAATAGTGGGAGGAGTCCCACAGTTTCTTCTTCGATTGGTCTCCAGTTATTACTATACAAGTCCCTCTCTTCTCAACTAAGAAAATTCTCTCTTATCCCTGCTGCTATCATGACTACCCCATTTAGTACATTTCTCTGATTGTTGTACATGCCGTTGAGTCAGTTCTGACTCATAGTAACCCTTGTATAAAGTTTCCTAGCAACATCTGGTGGGTTTGAACTGCCAACCTTGTGATTCCAAGTCTAGCTCTGATCCTACAGTGCCACCTCTCTGTTGTTGCTGTGAAGTACTGTCAAGTTGGTTCTGACTCATAGCGACCCTGTATAGGGTTTCCCAGGAGTAGCTGGTGGGTTTGAACTGCCGATCATTTGATTCTCAGTCCAGTTCTGATTCTACAGCACCACATCAGGAGTCTCTGATTAGAGACCATAAAACAAAAACCCACTTCCTCAAGTAAAAAAAAGTCTTAAATTAGAGTATTACTATTTTTTAATCCTTATAAAGAAACTAGAATATAGTAAATTATTGTAAAATAGGCATATGTCTTCCATGCGTGACATTTCAGCATTTACTTCTTCACTAACTCATTTGTATATGCTTCTTAATAACTTTGTTACTTGTGACATGTTAAGCATATATTGTTCTGGGTTACCATTGATTCAACACCAACCAACTGTGATGAGCCTATGTGTGAAGTGTAGGCAGGTTCCATAGCGTTGAGGCTTTGGAAGACCTTTCCAAACCAGGTCTATCTCCTGAAGTGCCTCTGGAAAGGTTTGAACTGCCAACCTACTGAACTCTAGTCAAGTGCTTAGCCATATGCACCATGAGGGATTCCTTTTTAGACATAAGTTGTTTTGAATGAGTTGTTATTTTGGTATGTTACATTCTCCACTGACTATGAGTACTGGTAAAATTAAACATACTGGGGGCTACAAATATATTCAAAAATATGGTAATTTGTGGCTGCACATATAATACTATATATCTGGTCAGACCAGATCTTATGGTTTTCATTTCCACATGGAGTGATTCCCCTTCAATATCACATTCTTTAATATGTTCTTCAATCAATTTAAATTGTCAATTTTAATTTTAGTTTACATATATGCCCTAGTTAGCCTTCATAATAATTCTTCAAATTGTAAATTAAATCTAGAAAATTGAAAAGACCATGTTACTTTTCCAGTGTTACAATTTTTAAAGAAATGATAATATTATTTCTAACAGAAAAACTTTGAAATTTAATTTTGGATAATAAATTTTCCGAATGTGAGATTTGCCATTGAAATATTCAGTTCAGCATTTGCCAGTATTTTCTACATAGGAAACATTGGTATTAGTTTCAAGAGACTATAATTTGCTTAGTATAAATGATACATTTTTTAAGAAATGATATAATTTCTACAGATAATTTTAATCTAGATGGTGCTTTTAAGAGAATTTTTACATTAAATTATGATTCTTGTATTATTTTTCTTATAACATTAATTTCACTGATGGTTTGACATGGCAAAAATTATAACTTCGATCGCACAAAGAAATCTTTGATGAGCCAGAAAGAAGAAATTTTGCTGATATCTATAGGTGGAGCTGAGTTACTAAAATATCTGGAGGGCAAAACAAAGTAAGCAAAAGCTCTAAATTATGCCAAATACTGTACAAATACATTAAAAAAAAAAAAACAAAAAAAACCTTTGAACTTTCCAGTGTACTCGTTCTAAAGTACAAAATAAGTCCATCTTTTGCTATTGTGGAGTCCTGGTGTGGTGCTGTAGGATAAGCAATTAACCACAAAGTAGGTTTGAACTATAAGGCCAGCAGTTGAAACTCACCATCTTCTCCTTGGAAACTCTATACTGGGTTGCTATGGGTTGGAACCAACTCAACGGGGCTTAACAACAACAACATAGTTGTTGTAGAACTCCTAGTGTAGCACTGTAGGATAAGCACTGTGCTGCTAACCACAAGGTCAACAGTTCAAACCTACCAGTTGCTCCTCAGAAACCTTATACAGAGTCGCTATGAGTCACAACAGACTCAATGTCACTTAACAACATTGTTGCTGTGTTGTTCTGCTGTGACACTGTAGGACAAACACTGGACTGCTAACTGCAAAGTTGGCGGTTCAAACCCACCAGCTGCTCCTTGGAAACCCTATAATGGTTCACTTTGAATTGGAACCAATTCAATGGCACTTAACAACTACAACAGCATTGCTACTGTGGTGGTGGGTCGATTCCTCAAGTCAGCCCTAACTCATGACTGCCTCATGCCTAGGGAACAAAACATTGCCTAGACCTGTGCCATCCCTATTATCAGTTGCTAATTGGACAATTATGGAGCTCTGGTAGCGTAGTAGTTATGTGTCAGGCTACTGATCTCCAGGTCAGCAGTTTGAAACTACTAGACAGACATTCTGTGGGATAAAGATGAGCGTTTCTACTCCTGCAAAATTTTACAGCTTCGGAAACTGTATGTAGTGTCCCTATGAATTGGAACCAACTCCACAGCACACCATTACCACCACCAATTGAACCATTGTGATTCATAGGGTTTTCATTGGCTGGTTCTTGGAATTAGACCACCAGTCTGAAAGTTCTGAAGAAATCTGTTCAACACCATAGTTACACACAAGCTATGGTACATTACCATAGTATAGCCATCATAATTAGGAAATCAACATATGTAATGATTACCTTTGCCATCTAATCTATAGGCCTCACTCAAACCTCACCAACTGTTCTAACAGTTTTTCCTGTTCCTATAATGAAAAAAATACCTTCCTTTTCCTCTTTCCTTTCTGGACCAAGATGAAGGCCCATTCCATAGGCATGCATTGCATTCAGCTCTTAAGCCTCTTTAGTTTCCTTCAGTCCAGAAAGACCTTTAGTCTTTCCTTGTCTTTCATGACCTTGATGGTTTAGAAACAAAAAAAACAATTGTTTTGTAGAATCCCCTTTTGTTAGGTTGAAAATTGTATATTTATAATGTTTCTTCATGATCAATATGCATTTGTGGTAAAATAACACAAAGTGATATGATGCTGTGCTCCTATGATTGTGTCATATCAAAGGCATGTGATGCTGATTTGTCTAGGTTTGGGTTATGTAAACGTCTATCACTTAGTTAAGATGACATCAGTCAGATCACTTCACAGTTATCCTTCATGGCCCAGTTCAAACTTGTACTCACCTTTGAAAGCTCCACTAACTACTCCAGCACCTGCTGGTTCTTCTCACATTTGTCTTCTGTCATCTGCAGGCCATACTACACAATTTATCATCTAATTCATGACATTCTATATATTGTGTCTTTTCTCACTCCTTGTAGTGTGTCTTAATTCATTCCACTGCAGTTTGGTGTGTGTGTGGGGCGGGGGGGGGCAGAGCACAGTGGCTCCATATGATAAACACTGGACTTCAAACCACAAGGTCCTTGGTTCGAGCCTGCCAGCCACACTCCAGGAAAAAGATAAAGTTTTCTGTTCCTATGAAGATATAAAGTCTCAGAAATCCTATACAGGGTCATTAAGAGTTGGAACCAACTCCATAGTACTAGCAACAACAAATGCGGATGCAAGTAAGTGTCCTGCTCTAGAGATGTTAAAACCTAGTGAATGAGAAAGATGAAGACCCAAATGGATACTGTTATAATGAGAATACGCTCATTATTCTGAGGTCATATGCAGGTAGAGTACAATCCTCTCTGAATTTGTGGGTGGAGGGAAGATGAAGGAGGAGGAAGAGCTATTAGAGTAATTTTCCCAAGTGAAGTGACTCAGTTCATACTAATTATACAGCGTGAACACACGCTGTCATTCTTTCTGTGTTTCTTGCAGCACAAAGCAGAGGGTTTATCCACTCAATGAAGAATGTTTACTGAGCCTTAACTCTGCTGTTCACTGTGATAAGCAGAGGGTTTATCCACTCAGTGAAGAATGTTTACTGAGCCTTAACTCTGCTGTTCACTGCGATATGTTCTGTGCATATGAATATGTTTATGGCACAATCCTTGTCTTTGCAATACTCTCAAGTGTAGATTTGGTTTTTCTGCTTCCTGGTATTTTCTGTTTCTTTGATTATATCTCATTCATTTTATATGTGTTCTGGATTAAGACAGGGCCAGAGTGGATGAATGGTTGAATAGAGTCATAGTTAGATAGAGAGTCATAAGCACTATGTCGTGATTGTTGTTAATTGTCATCAAGTCCATTCTGACTCATTGTGGTCCTGTGTAGGATTTCCGAGGACTCCTGGTGTGGCACTGTTGGTTAATGTGCTGGACTGCAAAATCCACTTGGACTAGGAGGCCTGTGGTTCAAGTTCACCAGCTGCTCCTTGGAAACAGTATGCAGGATCACTATGGGTCAGAACCTGACTCAATGGCATTTAATAACAACAACAACATAGGATTTCCAAAGAGTGACTGGTAGGTCTGGACTATATTATACCTAGAAGTTCAGTGCTTATTCTACAGTGCCATGATGCAGGATAAGTATGTTGTTGTTGTTGTTAAGTGCTGTTGAGTTGATTCCGACCCATAGCAAGCCTGTATAGGGTTTCCAAGGAGCAGCTGGTGAGCTTGAACCGCCGACATTCTGGCGCATTAGCCTATAGCACCATAACAGGATTAAGTATAGCAACTATTAATAAATATTGGTTTGCTAATAATTCTTAATCAACCACTAGAAGTTATTTCTTTTTGAGTTCTCCAAACTCTTTTGAGTTCTAGTGAGTCTAAAGTGAGAGCCTTACTTTCTGTTTTTCTAAGTAAGTACATTCTAATGATCAGGAAAACTAGTTTACATTTCTGATCTCTCCAGAAAAGGTGGGCTTGATTTCTGATCAGTATCAAGTGTTATACATAAGAAGCCCTGGTAGATAAGGTGTTATGTGTTGGGCTGCTACAAGGTCAGAAGTTCAAATCCACCAGTCACTTCCCAGGAGAAAGATGAGACTTTCTGGCTCTGGTAGTTGTGGTTATGTGACACTGAGTTGGTTCCAAGTCATAACGACCCTGTATTGGGTTTCCAAGGCATAAATATTTATGGGAGCAGAAAGCCTCATCTTTCTTCCAAGGAGCTATAAGTCATAACTGACTTGATGGCACACCACCACCATCACCACCATTTTGTTAAGTGCTGTCGAGTCAGTTCTGACTCATAGTGACCCTATTTTCTGAGGAGCAGCTAGGTTTGAACTGCCAACCATGTGGTTCACAGTCCAGACACACCACCACCATACATAAAGCAAAACCCAAACTAAACCAGTTATTACCAAACTGATTCCAATTTGAGGCAACTCCATGTATTGCAGAGTAGAGTTGTCACCATAGAGTTTTCTTGGCTGTGCTATTTATAGAAGCACATAGCCAGATCTTTCTTCTTCGGTATCATCAGGTGAGTTTGACCCACTAACCTTTAAACAAACATAAACCACTTATGCTACTCAGGGATTTGTTGTTAAGTGCCGTCAAGTCGGTTCTGACCCATAGTGACCTTGGATAGGGTTTCCAAGAAGCAGCTGGTGAGCTTAAACCGCCGATCTTGTGGTTCAAAATGACTTTGCTGTTACATTAACCCACAGTGCATTAACCCACACCACCACACCAGGATACCTACTCAGGGATAGGTATTCAGAAAATGAATATCTCCAGGGATTATTTCTAAAGGTAATAGCATAATTATATCAATTGCAGCATACTTTAAGAGATTTGAGCTTATTATAAAATCTAAGCATGTGGCTTGGAAATTTTAACCTATATACATGGGAACCCAGGGATCTGTAGTGATGTTTCATACTTCCACATAGGGCAGGGTAAGAACACACACAATACTTAAGAAGCCTTATTGTCCTTTCATTTGTTTTATGTTTGGTGATTCCATAGATATTTCATTTGAATAAAAGTTTCCAGAACACACTCAAGATTTTATTTCCACAAAAGTTTCTCTAGGCAATCAAAATAATAGTTTGAAAATTATTAAACTTTTACTCTTAATCAAGAATGTCATCTCTTTTCTGGTAAGACTATTATGGAATTATTTGCACTTAATTCTGGAGCAATTTTGGAAATAACTTTGTTTACCCATCACTTTTCAAACCCAAAATCAGAGCCTAAGAAGTGTTTTCGCCATTATGTGTTAGTACTCTTCATTTCTGTATTAATGTTCTGTGTAGAGAGGTAAACATTTGGATCAGCTGAATATGGACAATTTCACTACATTTAAAATGACCTTAGGTCTCTGAAGGAGCCCTGGTGGTGCTGTGGTTAAGCACTCAGTTGTTAACCAAAAGTTCAACAGTCCAAACTCACCATTTGCTTCTCAGGAGAAAGATGTTGCCGTTTGCTTCTGTAAAGATGACAGCGTTGGAATCCCTATGGGTCAGTTCTCCTCAGTCCAACATGGTCCATGTGAGTCAGAATTAACTTCAGAAGGGTTAGGAAAGGAGGAATGGAAACAGGAAGAACAAGGAGAAAGTAGGAGAAGTGAAGTTGTGTTGAGGGGATTGTAATCATTGCAGTGAAACAAACTTTGTATGACTTGTCGATATAAAACTGATCAGCTCCGCAAACTTTCACCCAATTTACAATAGAACCTTTTTTAAAATGGCAGCAGGTTCAGTCTCAGAGATAGTTACTAGACTATTGGTACACAAAGAGGAACTTATATTCAGTACTGCACCTGTTTCTCATCTCCTACCTTAGAAAATGGAATATATATGAATATCAGATTCTTTTTACCTTGAATTATTATGAGAGATATTATTACTTTTATTGGAAACAAAGCAACTTTTCTATGTGCCTTCACTTAATTATGATTGCAAAGTTAGCCAGCACAATGAATAAATCATTACATCACCTTCTAAATCTAAAAATGTTTATTTAACCAACACAACCATATTGAATAAAATCAGTTCTTTGGGGAAAATTAATTGCTTGCTCATTAGTTGAAAATAACAACATCTATTTGAACAATGCATCCAACAGAATTTGATGCAAACTTCAGTCCAGCTCTGCTTGCCTTTCTTTATGCTCTCTCATAAACTCTGGTGGAAGTGACGCCTTTCATGACACATTCCTAGATATAAAAGAAATTCATGGTCAATCACAGGACTAAATTATGAACTATCTTATTCAGTCTCCCACAATGTTGAGAAGGGACTAATAATATTTGTTCTGGGTGCCTGTATAGCTGGTATTGAAATACATTCGCACCGACCAATACCCACTGTCGTTAAGTTGATTCTGACTCATAGCGACCCTTTAGAACAAAACAGAACTGCTTCATATAGGGTTTCTGAGACTGTAAACAACTTATGGTAGTAAGTATTTACAGCCTCATCTTTCTTCCATAGAGCAGCTGATGGATTTGAACCACCAACATTGCATTTAGCAACCTAGTGTTTAACCCATGACACCACTAGGACTCCTTTGAAATAAGCTGTTGTTGTTAAGTGCTGTTGAGTCATTTCTGACTCATAATGACCCTGTATAGGGTTTCCAAGACTGTAAATCTTGGCAGGAGCCAAAAGCCTCATCATTCTCCTGCAGAGTGGTTAGTGGTCTTGAACTGCCAAACTTGTGGTTTACAGTCAAGTGATTATCATATGGAGAGAAATATAAAGACGAAGAAGACATTCCATCCTTCCATGGAATATTACAATCTCTATGGTGAAGAGGATTTACACCCTCGGAAACCCTGTACAGGGTCGCTACGGGTCGGCTCCGACTCGAAGGCACTTAACAACAACAACAACAATGGTGAAGAGGAAACAGAAGCAGAAACTCATAAAGCTCATAAAGCTATGTGGTACATGCACTGATGGAGACAGGCCTAGGATATCAGAGAGGTGTCAGGGAATTCTTCCTGAGGAATGGCATGCCTGGGCTGAGGTTCAAAGCATGAGAGAACTGCCAAGATGCGATACTATGATCTCAGTAAATTCACCCTTTTTTGTTTGTATACACATAGCCCTGATCTGTTTCTTTAGGTAAACTAATGATTGGCATGACCTAACAATAAGGTCTAGACATAAGTCGTTGGTAGATACTCACCACTACCAGTTTGTCATCCACACGTTTTCTCTTGATGGTGGTTGATTTTCCATCCCACTTCTGCACCTGTACCAAGGCACCACCATCTAAGTTTATGATGCTCTGCGGGCATGATAAAAATGATAGAATATGAATGTGTGGTTGGATAAGCAAGTAAAAAAATATAGTATTTTTGTTCAAAGGAGTATTTTGTAGTCATTGGTAATTTTAAATGACCAGAAAGATGAGGGACTTCAAAAAGTTTGTGGAGAAATGTCTTATTTTTTAATTTCATCTTTACTCTAATTTTTTTAAATCCACTCACATATAGCAAAAAGATAGAGAGAGAAAAAGGGTAAAAAATACCAAAATAAAAAATATATACCAAAATAATCACTTGTATTTACATTATGATTAAAGTTTTAAAGAGGCATGTATTGAGAAAATAGCATATAATTAACTAATAAAAGAAATGCATATATTAATACATTTATGGTTAGATGGTAGCATGCTGGGGGTTTGTTTGCTTTTGTTTTTTTTTTCCTCCTTCCCACTTTTTTCCAAATATCCCCTAACATTGTTACGCTCATTCAATTTACTTCTTGTACTCTCTGCATGGTATGGCAGATAAATAAATTATGTTAATCATTTTCAAAACATAAGGACAGCTTTCAAAGACAAAAAAAAAAAATCACCAGCTACATATTGCAGGCTACTTGGTTTAATTCTCAGACTTCAGAGATCATTGCCTCTGATAGAACAGTTTTCCTCTTTTTTATTACAGAATGGCTTCTTGCAGGCAGCTGTCATTTAAAAACCAGATGTGCCGATTCTATATCCCTTACCTTGACTTTCCTGTCATCTGCAGTGACTTCATCAAATTCTTGGCCCAGTTTGAAGGAAATCTCAGTGTTTTTAAAGGTGCTTTCTGATTTAATGGTGACCACATCCCCACTCACACTGATAATCATGTTGGGCTTGGCCATGCCAGCCACTTTCCTGGTGGCGAAGCCTACGCCTAAGTTAGGAAAAGAAAAAAAGCAAGTCATCTTTTACATCTAGTGTGTGTGTTTAAAGACAGGGGAAAGATACCAATGAATTTCTTTCTTTTTTAGCTTTTTATTTCAGTATACAACAAAATGTTTGTCATTTCAACCGCTTTTACATGTACACCCAGCCACGCCAACTACTCTCCCCATGTTGCAGCACAACCATCAGCACGATTCATTTGTATAGTTTTTTCCTCTCCTTTCTTTTGCTTTATTTCCCCGCTTCTTTGCTTTCCTTTTTTTTAATTGTGTGAAAGTTCCCAATAAGAAAATGAATATGTATTGTTTCCCTTCCTGTATGAAAGAGAGAAAAAAGAAAAAAAAAAAAAAAAACCTGAAAAACAATTTTCTTTTACCCCTTCTCCTTTTCTTACTTTTCTTTTTAACCGCCTTCCCAGTCACCCAAGTTAGCACGTGTCTGCATTTTTGGTGGTGGTGGTGGTGTGTTGTAGAGTCGGCTCTGACTCATAGCAACCTTATATAGGGTTTCCGAGGCTATAAATCTTAATGAGTGCAGAAAACTCATTATTCTCCTGCGGAGTGACTGGAGATTTGAACTGTTGACCTTGCGGTTAGCAACCCATCTCATAATCCACTGGAGTCCTGGTGTGGCACTATGGGCTAATGCACTAGACTGTAAAGTTGGTTTGAACTGCAATTTTGACTGTTCAAGCTGACCAGCCGCTCTTTAGTAGCTACTTTTTATATACAGGGTTGCCATTGATCAGAACCGACTCAAAGGCACTTAATAACAATAACACCCGGGCTCCTTTGTCAACACTTTACCCAGTGAATAATTTTCTCTTCACTCCAGTAAGTTTCACTTAAACAGCTACTGCAAGGTAACTAAGTCAAGATAATTAATACTCAAAGGAAAACTTGGGGCAGAATGGGTGTAGGCCCATTTGTTGAGCTTCCCTTCTTCTGGTTCTAGGTGTAGCTCATCAGGACATCATTATTAATTTGCACTAAGAATATGTACAAAGGTTAAATCTTCTGGAATATGTAAAATAAATAAATAAATAAATAATTACTCTAATTTCAAACTCTTTATCTCAACCTAGTAGGGCAGCCTCCCATTTTACTCAATTCATGAAATACTTGAGGCTCTTCAACCCCACCTTCTTAGGTCATAAAAATCTTCAAATCCAAAGCCAAAGGGAATCCGCAACAGGATTTTTTTTTTTTTTTTTTTCTGATGCCCTGGTCCAGGACTTCAAGATGAACAGATTAGTAACCCCCACACTTCCCTCATCCCCCACCCCCACCCTTACTTCTTGCTTTAGCTGAGGCTGCCCAACTTATTGCCATATGGGCTTTATCAACAGGATTTGGTGGAGGGGGTGCAATATAGAGTTATGCAGTTCAAAGATAATCACTTTTGGATAGATAAGAATCACATTTCATGGTGCTGGCTGCCAATCGACTATCTTGACTTCTTTTCCAATTTTCTTATTTTTATTTATTTAGATTAAATTTTTCAAAATGCCAAGTGTTTCCTATATTCATTCCATTTTTGAATGTTCACACTAATCATGTGCTATGAAAAGTTGAAATTTTAAGTGCTCATGATTTTAGTAAGTTTGGAAGCCAATACTTTTATTTCCAATCACTAAGTTTCAAACTTCTCTCTCTCTCTCTTTTTTTTTTTTTTTTTTTCATAAGGAATTTCTTTTTCTTGTCTAAGATTTGGGATGAAAAATTTACAACCTAGCACTGACATTGGTAACTTGCTGTCACTGCATGTTATGTAGGATTTATGACAGTCATAGACATACAGAACTTTTACATAAATCTTAGCTACTTCTAGACTAGACTTCTTATGGGTATTGAAGATTAAAAACAGAGAAGTGAATGGAAAAATACTTGGAGCAAAGCAAGTTATGCTGCTGCTCTGATTTAACTTCTCATCTGAAAAGTGGTCCCGGGTGGGAAGACATCATCAAGTTCTGAATCTTGCAAAAATATAACACCCAATATATAGAGTGATTCAGCTTAGTAAGTGGATGTTGTGTTTGAAATTAAGCAACATATTCTAATTATGGGATAGCATGTAGGGGCAAAATTCATACTCTCCAACTCCTTGATTCTGTCTATTTGATGAAGGAAATACCTGCCCACTTAACATCAATTAGAGTAGTTTATGGCTTACCAAATTTTAGGAAGTATCTTACTGTCTTTATTATCAGTAATTTAAATTTTAGAAATTCAATTATTAGTTTTAAAAGCATAAATTCTGTTTATGTAACTGTGTGCCGTTGAGTCAGTTCCCACTCGTAGTGACCCTCTATAAGGTTTCTGAGGAGCAAATGGTGAGTTTGAATCACCACCCATTCAATTCAAACCAACCTTGAGGTCAAATGCTTATCCTACAGTTCCACACTAGGACTTCCATTTAAATGTGGTTGTTAAGTGCCATGGAGTTGCTTCCCACCCATAGCATATAGGGTTTCTGAGGAGCATCTGGTGACCTTGAAATTTGTTGCTGTTTGTGCCATAGAGTTGGTTCTAACTCATAGCGACCCAGTACAGGGTTTCCGAGGCTGTAAATCTTTACGGGACCTTGAAATAAGAGGTTGCAAATACTGGCATTACTCTATTATGGTATATGAACTAATATGAACTAGTTTACAGAATCACACCCACTAATTCTGGTGTGTCACTGCAGGGGAATGACTATAAACTATATAAACTAGGGGAGGATTAATTCTTTTGAAATTTAGTAATCAAATTCTAAATCTTAACAGAAATCCTATATAAATTAACTATCTCTTCCCAGTTTGTTAACCATGCCTCAGATTGTATCAGGGTAGGAGTTGCCCCAGTGAGAATTCACATCCCTACTGCCTTGTTTTACCTTTACAGTTATCTGGGGAACATTCACAGGCAATGTAAAAGAGAATCTAAAAAATTAAAAGCCTTCATTATCAAAGAAGAAGAGTTATAATGTTCACCTTTAGAATTACTCAACAATTCGATGTCATCCCATGTAATTCCTAATCAAAGAATTATCTAAATCCTTTAAGAAATATGTTTTCTGAAATTAAGATTCTGCCACACATAAAACAACCATACATATTACTTACTAGACAGACATTAAAGCAATGAAATGAATACACATTTAGTTATATATATAAAAAAAGATTAAAGCATCTACATTAAGATGGAAAATACAGTGTTTTCAGCTTCAAATGAAAATTAGTGCATCCTATGAAATGAATAGAGTCCTGGTATTTCACTGTAGGATAGGTCAAAAGGTCAGCGTTTCAAACCCACCAGCTGCACTTCAGAAACCCTATACAGAACCGTCTCCGTGACAGTTAACAACAGCATGAAGTGAATATGGCTTTACTTCCAAATTACTGCTCATTTTGCTGCAAGAGGGAATAACAGAAAAAGAGTCAAGTAAACCAAAGTAAAACTTGCCATTAAAAAAAAATCGATCAGAAAAGAATCCACTTAGAGTTTTTTTCATATCATTGTACTTTCAGGAAATACTAGTTCTGACTTTGATCCAGAATATTTCTAAAAACAAATTGTTCTTACTTAACAATTGCACAGTTTCTATATAGAAAACAGCACTTACACATCTGGCCAGTGCTTACAGAGTGAAAAACACAGCCAGAAACCCCTTTTCCCTAGAGAAAAAGTTATAAATCCAGTCAACACACAGTGCATTTCCTTACCCACTTCTTTCATGTAATCATCAAAGTTTTCACTGGAGACCAGTTTCCAGGTGCCTACAAATGCATCACACATTTTGTGAGCTTTCTATGATTATCTTTCTAGGTGAGACAGAAAGCTGCAGCTTTGGGAAAGGGGCTATGACCCTCTTGAGTCAGATAACTTCTTTTAAAGATGCCCAGAACATGTGATCTTAGGAAGGACCAATTGGGAATGAAATCAGAACATTTCCTTCATTACCAGCCTCTGCATTTTTCCCTCTGAGTCATGTTTTTAATAGAAATTTCTCAACTTTGCTTCTGCCTGGCAAATGGTCACTGGACGAAGAGTACAGATTATTTTTAACTATTAACAGAATATTTTAAACATTCCTGTTTTGAATGTTTAACACTCAGTACATTGAATTTCCGCCTATTATTTTCATGAATATTTATCTCAGTGTAGAGTAGGATAATTATCTTGGAAAGAACTTTGACCCCCTTTTCTTAAGTGTTTATTAAAATGGCAGTTATGAAACGAGTAATATGAGATTCATAAATAAGTATAAAGGTTCTTTGGGTAAGTATTGTCTCAGAAATTACCTGGCGATTAAAACAAAATAAATAATGGCATTATAAAGCACCACAAATTTCTGACCCCAAGCATTATGCATGAATAAAAAAATTAATAAAGTTCATCTACCAGGAGTCTGGATTATAGATTTGATTAATGAATAATACTTTAACCTAACTCTTTCAATTCCCTGAATGAGAACATAGATGATTTCCCTTAAAAATGGGTCCCAATCTTCATATTGAGAAAATTCATTCCATTTCTGGAGCTCCAAATGGTGTTGTTTCTCTTAAAAATGACCAGAAATGGTGTCATCGTAAGATATCGAGCCTTTTTTCCTTCTTCTACATGGAGATTAATCTGTGAGATTGTTTTTCTAAAATAACCATGGTTTCCAACCCCCAACTCTCCATCTCAGAATGCTATGCATGATGGATGAGAGTTCTTAAGTACAACCCACTCCCACGAGCATGAAACTGACATATTGCAGAATAATGAATCACTACATTTTATATTCCACTGGACAGCATCAGCCATGCACAGGATTGCTTCATCTAAATATCAAAAACTTCCCAGAAATGTTTAGGGCAAGGCATTCTGCAAAGGACAGGGTTTTCTAAAGGCAAACAAGCAACTACAAAAACTTGATAGGCTACAATAGTAAGTTTAAATGATCACATTTGTTAATGACCTAGCAATAATGTTCATCTACCCTGGACTGTTGCATAGATACATACATTACACTGTTGAGTATGTGCAATTCCTGATAGGCTTGTTAGTATAAATCCATCTGTTTCCCAGTGAATATGATCTTTCACATGACAAATGATTACAAATCATGATCATATACAGGAAAAACTTTGACAGTTCTAAATTATTAATGGTTTACTTTGCAAAATATATGTTGATGCTTTATTTTTAGTATTAAATTGTTTTGGGAAATTTTTCAGATAATTATTATACAACAACATACTGAAAGTAGTCATGTTATCTAGATACATATGGCTCATGAATATTTGAAATGTGGCTGCAGCAATTAAGAAATTAAAAAGAAAACACTGAATTTTTTATTTTATCTAATTTTAATTAACATTTAAAAATTATCCTGGATTCAGTTATTGGAAAACTTTTAAATATGTTTTGGTTAACATATGTGTGAGACTACTTTTTTCTACAGTAAATTTTGTGAAATTTAAATATAAATAAAATATTTTGAAAGAAAATTTAGAATCTGCATTAAAATATGCTAGCTGTGGGTTAAAGTGCTAGAGTGTACAGTTGGTTTGAATGAAAAGTCAGTAGTTCAAGCTTACCAGCCTCTCCTCAGAAACTGTATTACAGGGTCACTATGGGTCAGAACTGACAAGACGGCACTTAAGAACAACAACAAAATAAGCTATACAGCAGATTTTAAAGTTAATATTAAAAAGTAATGTGCAGGGAACGAATCTTTAGAGAGGGGATCATTCCCACCCCCTCCATACACAGAGTAGACAACTGGGACATTGGCTACCCAAAATGGGGGAGGGGGAGCTACAAAGTCAAGAAGTGACTGGCTTACACGCTTTCAAGAAGGAGTCTAGATCCAGAGGGCGCAGAGGAAAGTAGAATCTCCACTGAGTAGTACCCAATCTGTCTGGATGGGGCTGATGAAAGGAGATGGGGATAGGTCTCTTGTGGTACAATAGTGAATAATTGTTATCAGGACTGACTGTGAGGGTTGGAAATATAAAGGTAGACACTTTGTAGCAAAGGGAGGGGAGTGATTGACTTTGCAGTCCAGGAGTGGAGGGAGAAGAGCGGAGTGTGGGACCCTACCCAGAGAAAGAGTGATGCCAGAGATGGAGACAGAGATAATGATGTGCAGAGATGGAGTGGCTGGGGACTCTAGACCCAGAGAGTGAAAGGGGCTGTGTGCTGACGACTGGGAGGCAGGCTTGCGGGTTGATGATGCATGGAGGGGATTGTAACCATTGTAACCATGGCATTGTAACCATGGCAGTGAAATGATATGCAATAGGATGAATGTAAAGCTAATGTTCTCCCATGTAAACTATCACATAATTCACAATAAAACATTTATTTTAAAAGTAATGTACAATATTATATATTTTTTTCATTGCTTATATGCTCAAATGTTGTTGTTGTTGTTATGTGCCGTAGAGTCGGTTCCGACTCAAAGGAACCCTGTACAGGGTTTCCAAGGCTGTAAATCTTTCTGGGAGCAGAAAGCCTCATCTTTCTGCGCGGAACAGCTGGTAGTTTCCAACTGCTGACCTTGAGATTCACAGCCCAATTAGTAACCACTACACTACCAGAGCTCAAATTATATTTTAAATATTTCATCAAATATGGTTTACTTATTCATTTAGTAATAAGTAAACCATATTAGTAAATAATTTAACCTGTTTTCTTTTCATTTTTAATGTGGCTGCCAGACTGCAAAGCCATTTGAACTGCAAGGTCGGCAGTTCAAGCTCACTAGCTGCTCCTCGGAAACCCTATACAGGGTTGCTATGGGTAGGAACCGACTGGATGGCACTTAATAACAACACTGACATATTTTAGATTTATGTGGTTTACATTATATTTTTGTGGGACAACACTATTTTAGAGCATCATACTGACACCAACATTTATCCATTTATTCAACATATATGTCAGGCACTAGACATGTTGTTGTGGTTGTTAAGTATCATCGAGTTGGTACTGACTTATAGCAACCTTCTATAGGGTTTTCAAGGTGTGGCTGGTGAATTTGAATTGCCAACTTTGTGGTTAGTAATCCAGTGCTTATTCTAGAGCACCACACCAGGACTCCAGGCACTGTATCAGCCAATGAAAATTCAGCAATGAGGAAGCCATATCAGGGCCTTACTTGCTTTCATACAGCTTATATCCTGTTGATGGAGAAGATATTACACAATGATACAAATAAAAGAATTACAGGAAGTAAGGTCTTAAAATACTTATTAATAATGATTAAAGACCACAGCCTTCAGGATGGGTTGCAACTGAATGTAAAGAAAACACAAATCCTCACAACTGGAGCAATAAGTAGCATTATGATAAATGAAGAAAAGACTGACATTGTCAAGGACTTCATTTTGCTTGGATCCATTATCAACATTCATGGAAGCAGCAGTCAAGAAATCAAATGATACATTGCATTAGGCAAGTACACTGCAAAAGACCTCTTAAAAAGCTAGCTTGAGGATTAAGATACACCTCACCCAACCATAATATTTTCAATAGCTTCATATGCATGTGAATGTCGGATTGAGAATAAGAAAGACCTTAGAAGAACTGATGCATTTGAGTTATAATGTTGGAGGAGAATATTGTAAGTACCGTGGACTGCCATAAGAACAAACCAATCTGTGTTGGAAGAAGTACAGCCAGAATGCTCCTTAGAAGCCATGATGGTGAGACTTCATCTCTTGTACTTCAGACGTGCTGTCAGAAAGGACCAATCCCTGGAGAAGGACATCCTGCTTGGTAAAGTGGAGGGTCAGTGACAAAGAAGAAGACTCCAACGAGATGGACTGGAAAAGACACAACAGCAATGGGCTCAAGCACAACAACCGTTTTAAGGATGGCTCAGGGTTGTAAATTTTTCATTCTGTTGGGCATAGGGTTACTATGAGTCGGGACTGACTTAATGACATCTAACAACAACAATATCTTTCAGAGAGAACTGAATGGAGTAATCTGACTTAATGACTATTGTCAGGGTTGGCAGCAGGAACACTGGTCAAATTAGGTGAATATTTGAGTTGACATCTGAATGATGAGAGAAAAATAGTCATAGTGAAAAGGGTAAAAAGGTAGAGGCAATAGCAGGATGTGCTGGCTCAGTTTCTCTTTAGTAGTTTCATGCAAGCACAGCCATCAACAGTACCTGTAACCCATCACTATTGTAAAGATACTAGGGTCTGGTGAGCAGAGTTCAAGACCCATTAAGGCAGAGACATTTGTCTATATATATTTACTGGTGAGTGCCAACTAATTAAATACTATGGATGAAAAAACATGCATTAAGAAAACTTTAACTAGGTTTGTAGTGAGTCCTCCTATAAAAATACTTCAAGAAATTTTCTGTGGGGCCATAGCATCAGATACGTGTCTGTAGCATTAAATATGTGAACATATTTAATGCCTGATCACCACTGAGGAACTGACATATTCAAGAATTTCAGAAACAGCCACTAGCCCCTTTAATGGTTGAATATGAAAAATAGTAGTAATATATACTAAAGGGTCTTGTTAGCTCAAATATTAATGGAAGAATTAAGATGTGAGAAACTTTACTACAGGAAGAAATTTTATGTTATTGCTTACATAGAATAACAAAATGGGCTTTGCACAGTTACTGAAGGAATGTTGTTTTTATAAGCAGCTCAATTTGTGTTCCAAATGTATTGGCAATCCTGTGAAATGCTAATATTCTTCCTATGCACAATCAAATAGGAATAAAATTCTCTCTAGACAATAAGCTGTCCAGAAATTTAATAAAAAATCAATTCTTTCTCATTTATGCATTTGTTTCTGCAGTAATAAACCTTTATCTTCCAAAAATTATCTTTAC